ATGTGTGAATGGCTCTTTTTCTTACATCAGGAAAGCATAGTCTAAAGCCACTTAGCATTACACTTAACTGTCAATATGACCCTATAGAAGAGATGGAGAACTAGAAAAAGGTGAGAAAAAACAGTTGGTGGGAAAGGGCTTAGAAAGCATATGTTCATTTTCCTAAGGGACAGGGAGAGTAAGATAACATACTCATCTGGAGAAAGGCTAGATAGAAAAAAAAAATATTTGCAGCAGAATAAGGAATTGAGGCATGAAATTTTGATTGATGGACAAAAGAAAATTTGCACTAGTGAAGAATGTGTAATAAGTGAAAGAGCAGAGTAGGAGAGGGAAACTTTGAAGACAGGTGAAGTGTAAAGGGTCTCTTGAAACAGACATATGGGAAAAAAAAGAAAATTTCATGGAAACTGAGAAAGCTAGCAGAATATTATAGAGTTAGCTTCAGAAGAAGCTAGCATGATGGCATCCACAATTTGGAAATGAACTGGAAGAAAGCAGAAAAGATACAGACTGAGGCAATTGCTAGAAAATAGGAAAGAAGTGAAGATAAATGAAATAGCAGCCTGAGAGAGAAGTTGGTTAAGTTTCCTGTTCTTATGAGGACAGCTTTGGCAGAAAAGCCCAAAATTATTTGGGAGTGATTTGAGAAAAGGAAGACATGACAGGGACACCATATGAAAAGAATGGTCAATGAGGAAGACAATGCAGAAGTAGAAAAAATGTTAATAGTTTAGATAATGTGTAAAGAGAGTGGTAATTCAATGGAATGAAGATGAATGTACAGGATTTGGAAGGGAAACTACTGGGAGACAGAAAATTGGGAATTTGGGATTTATAGAGGAAAAGAATAATTAATAATGTAGGCAGACAAATACATGGTAATTAACTAGATGGGGAAGAAAAAGCCAATGGAAATAAGAAAGCAAGAGTGGCAGTAAATGTCATTGTTCTAGTGCTTAGTAAGAGGTCTGGTAACACAACAGTATATAAAAGTCAAACATTATCTTTGTATGGTACCTTTTTGTGTGGGATGAGGGGGTCTTGGGAAACCGGATTGGGAGCTAGGCATAGGCATCTAGTGAACCTACAATATGTATGGAGAAGAGGATAATCCGCTTTATTATTATTTTAAACAGAAGCAAGAAAGAAAACACTTAAAACCACTGTCTACACCAGTTCCTAAAATCTTAGTATCTGTTTGTATCTGCTAAAAAATATGAGACCCATAATTGGTTTATTTATTATGTTATTTTCTAGGATTTTATGGATATTTCAGTAATCTCTTATCTACCCAGTATTAAAAAAAACCAAACCAAACCAAAACAAACAAGCCCAACCCTAAAATATCCTTTGTTGCTTCTTTTTAATCTCATATTCAAATTTCTTTTAATTATCTCTCCCATTTTGCAAAAGACTTTACATAAACTAAAAGTGAACCCAAATGAATGCTACATGATAAAAAATAGAACAGAATATACCCCACTTATTGACAAATACAATTATCTTTTATGCTCAAATTAGTCCTATTCCTTACTCGCAAAAGTGATAGTTAAAATAACATTAAATGTAACTTCAAGTTGACAAGTATACTTTTATTTATCATAGATAGTAGATAAAATCTTTTACAATTTCCTCATGTAATGTTTTCTTAAATGCTGAAATTACGGTTGGTATTCCAGTTATTTCACTTCCCCACAGCTTTTGTTTGCTTAGTTATAGAACTGCATAGCATACTTAATACAGTAACTTGAAAAAAGTTAATGGTTGTTGATAAAGAGACTATTGCCCCAGAGATGCTTTGATACTGATATATCAATATATTTCTGAGGGCAATAAGAAAGGCATAAGTATTTCCCTAAGTGAGAACCTGAAACAAGAAACAGATAGTATTATATCCTTTATTATGGAATATATAGCATATTCTATATAATAATTCTTCTATAGTGAATACTAGGATATATAAAACACAATTCACAGATTGTATGTAAGGACCTAATTGAAATTTTATGAAATTGGAAAGACATGGTCTTTTTTGCCCCAGTGAAAATTCAAAAAAGTGTTGGGACAATTCCAGTGTCACCCATTGGAAAGTCTTTGTACATTTTATCAGCTAAATTCTCCAAGTAGCCCATCTGTAGTGAGCATGCTTTATCCCAGTTCTGCAGTAATGAAGTAGTTCTTTCCCTGTGACTCTCTCTCCTCATTCCTGCAAACAATTGCCACGCTAAATATTGGAGGAAAAAAAAATCCCAAATAAAACAAGAAACTATCTTTGCTCTTCTCTTAGTGTCCTGTCCCTGATATTCAGGCAGATGCAGAAGAAGAAATAGAGCTCGTGCTGAAAGCAGTAGGGAACATGAGCTTGATGGGGAGGCAGAGAATACAGACAGATGTGGTACCAAACAGGAAAGGCTCTTAAGAGGGAATTGCAGTATGGACTCTTGAAATGGCAGGATGAGAGGAGAAGGCAAGAGGAAGGGTCAGACAGAGGTAAGGGGCTGGGGGTCACTGAGAAGAGAGCGAGCTTTTAATCAGAGAAATAATCAGGGTGGAATGAAACATTTCAGAAGAAAACGCTGGAAGAATGTGAAGTTAGGGGAGAAAAGAAACATATTGTCATGTAGAACAACAAAAGAGTGAGGTAAGCCATTAAGAGAAGCTGGAATTGGAATGAGAAGAAAACTCTTTTTCAGTAAGAGCTGAGACACAGAGATACAGGGATATGTGCTAGGGGGAACACAGAGAAAAGGCATTTTATGGTGAAAGGGAATCAATCTTCCTTCCAGTGCTGGAAGTGAACACAAAGATTCCCAACACTTATTCATCTGCCATTAACTACTTCTTGAACTATTTTTGAAACCTGTCACTCTATAACAGCTGATCCACAATGAAAATAAGTTCCTACAGTTACTTTGTGTTGTAGGTTTACATATTGTGCTAGATCTAAAAGTTCTGAACTGTTGTTCCACAATTAAGGCCAGTATGTTAAATTATAAGAAATTGCAACTCTATTTCTTGCTTCTTTTTTCCTTTTCCTCAAAAAACCCTCTATTTTAATTATATGTTAAGACTGCAAAGTAGAGACAGGAAATGTCAGAATTAAGGTTGCCTTTGCAATGTGATCCACTACCAAAATATGTTATGGTCAGCTATTTAATTAAAAAATAATCTGTGGTTTGTTTAGATTGGGGTCGTTTTTCCCTTGCACCACTGTGGGCAGATGAATCAAGGAAAGGTAATAATTACAGAGAATTTTACTTTTTAGTCCTTGATTTCATTTGTTGTAGAAATAGAAATACATGAAATGAACATAAACAGGCAGAGGTTATCTGGAAAAGAATGGATAATCATGGTTAGAAAGCTGAAGTGTTGTTCCTACATAGTTTGAGGTAAGTCCTTAAGAATACATACTTTCAAAATACTCAGTAATTATGTGTTGCTCATTTTATAAATATCCAGCTTGGTATCTCAGCCTATAAGTGAAATGGAATTCAACAGGAACAGTGATTTTAGATGCACTGAATACATAGGCCAAAAATGCTATATATCCTGAAAAAATAGGTCCTAGCTACTTGAAAGTTAAGCAATTTGTCACCTTAATCTTTGTTTGATTTGGTTTCCCAGCTTTCAAATGGGAATACTCTAAACTTTGCTTCCTTGTGGGAAAGCTCTGAAGATAAAGTAATTAATGTTTGTAAAGAGCTCAAATACTGTGGTGACTAGTGTAAAGAATTACTTCCTAAGAAATCTGAAGTCTGTCTTCAAACCAAACCAAACAACAATATTACTGGATTACAATAAAATGACATAATGAGTGGTTCCCTACTAAATTCATTAGGTTAAATGGTGCTTTGAATAAGGCATATATTTTATGAGAAGGAAAGTAGGATTCTGGAATAACATACCTCATAACATGCATCCACTTCCCAGGCAACATTTAATCTGGCATACTCCAATTTCTGAGATACTGACTTTGCAGACATAACTTGCTTTCAATCTAAATGTCTTTGTTTACATACATGTGTTTGTCCTACATAAGAACTTATTGTCTCTTCTGTATTTGTTTATATGCTCAGTGCATTAAAAGCTTGTTGACTTTTTATTCTGTTGTTACAGCCTACTTGTGGCACACCAGTAACAACTCTTTAGGAGTTAGAAAAAGTGATTAAATAACACACGGAAGATGTCAAATGATACTGTTAAGATGATTGACTGCAAAATGCAAAATAAAGGCAATTGAGAGTGATTACTGGAGCTAATAATTTTAGGCTTGCGTCTGAAAAATGCACCTTCATTTACAATTTAAAACAATTGTTATTTTTACTGTTTAGCATTCATGTAGGTAGATTTTGACTGTTGACTAGAGAAAGCTTTATAACATAAATACTATCTTAAGAATTTGCTCTTTACTAATATATTGGTTGTTTGCAATATAGATATACATTTAGATTCACAAGGGAAGTAATGTGGCTCTTTCGCATTTCATGTATAAATTTACTCAGCAGATTTGTTTTATTAAAATGTAAATAATGTGATATGGTAAATGAAACATCCAAGAAGGGAATAAACAGATTATTTAATACTCAAAGTAGCTTATTGAAACCTACGTTTCAGTAACCGCCACTGAATATCAGCTGTGAAATTCTCATCATGCCTTGAATGTTACCCATTAGGTTTAGCCATTTGTATAGTTAAAAGGCTCAAAATGTTTCATATATACCTTTAAAAATATTTTTATCTCAAATATAACTACACATATTCACAAAAACAGCATTCAAGCATGTCTGAGATTCAACCCAATATTGCTTCAAATAAATTATTCTTTAATTGCTCTGTATAAACAGAAATGACCTATTAATTTAAAGAAAATCTATCAGCACAGAATGTATTCTCTCTTATAAACACGCAAGATGAACTTGACCTTGTTTGCACTTGTTTTGATGTGGCCCAGATGGTAGGCTACATGCTTGAATAGCAGTCTAAAGCTGAGGAAAAACTCATATAGCAAGATCTAGATTTATAGCCTTTTGCAAATTCCTACCTTGTATTGTCCTTTCAGCATCTGTTCTGCCCCCGCTGCGGTCAGCTTCTATCTCTGGGGTCAGAGAGTCTAGAAACATAGAAAGGTAAGACTGACACATATTTCATTTGATTCTTATAGCCCTTTTTACAACCTGTTACTCCAATGCTGAATTACAATACAATCAACCTTTGTCAGTTTTTTTAATGTTGAACAATGACTGGAGGCCAGGACAATTTTTTGTTAGACTAGGAAGATTAATGAGCAATAGATTTTCCAAGCACAAAGAGGGGGGAGATAAAGAGTATGAAAAAAAAAAATTGACTTCTCAAGCTAATAATATAAAATCGTCCTAGTCTGAACACTGTCTCCAGTGAGTTTATTTGTACATACTAGACAGAGTAACAAAACAATAAAGAGCAAGGCATCACTTGAATGAAGAAAAGAATAGAGATTTTAATATTTTCTTTTTTTCCCTCCCATCATATTATAAATTTTCAGTACAATGAGCTTCTTTTGGGGCTTAAATTGAAAATTGATGACACAGAGGCAAAAATTGGCTCCTTACCATTTAGGACCCTGAGACTATCTGTTGAAGCTGCCTGTTTCAGTGTCTGTTCTGCTTGCTCCCGTCGTTTAGTCTCAAATTCAAGTGCTTCCTGTAATTTCCTCTTTGCCTTTTTTTCCTTCTTTAGCCTTTTCTGAATTATTGCTAGGAAAAAATAAAATCAGTGTGCTCAAATTCGGATATGAAACTTGGCTACATGATTACCTATTAAGAGTCATGAGAAATGCTACAACTGAAACAATTAATATAAATTGATTAATTACACATACCAATTTAAATTACTTGAAATTTGCTGGAATCACAGTGAAGTATTCTAAAAGCTACTTTTCTCTACCATGGTATTGAAAGCTGTAGGTGATATTCAGCTATAGCATTTTTAACTTTTTCTTTTAAGCAGATGAGGATCAGTGTGTCCAAATCAGCAAACCTTGAAAACAGCAATGAAATGCACTTTTTGAATCATCTGATGCAGATACACCTCTGCCTCTGGAGGTGAGGTGTTTTTTCAGGAGTAAGTCCATGACGTTGCCCATAGCATACAGTTAGCATACACACGGATGAAGTCCTCGCCGGCCTGCCTGCCTGCAGCTTCTCTCCCACAAGAGGGAGATCCAGCTGCTTGGGTGCCCGGGCTGCAGGAGGAGCTCAGTCCTCCCCTTGCTGTGGATCTCGTTCCTTAGG